TGGCGTTGGAGGAGGAGGGCACGGATGCAAAGCAAGGGGGAGTAGGGGCGAAGTGGAAGAGACTGGCACTGATAGGGGGATTTGAGTGGCCTGGGGGTGTCGGAGTCCTACATGGCTATTGTTCGGACTCCCGCAAAGCCCCCCAGTTTGCTTCCACTTTGCGGGAAAAAGTGCGTCCGGACCGGTCGGCAGACCAACACTGGCCCGTGTTGGATGGTAAAACATGTCCGGACCGTGGGGTCTAGGCGGATGCGGGCGTTTGAGGGTCCACTTTGAGATGCCCTTATAAAAGATTATTTATTTATTTTGCTACCCCCTGTTCCATAATATAAGTTTATTTTGGGGGTGAAAAGGAGTTTTATTCCATAATTATAGAGTTACAATCGAGATGCAGAAGTACCTCGATACAGGGGACCCCTTGGTACAACCTCACAACAGTGGTGCACTCACTACAACTACAATTCGCCAACCAATCGGCTACTCTATTTTGATCTCTACCGAGCTTCCGTGGAATAAACTCCCCATCGTCCATCAATGCTTTGATCTTGGTAGCTAGGTGTCCATAGGCCAAGCAGACAAAACCACTACCCGACGGGATAGAAAGAGCCTCTATGGAATCTGATTGAACAATGACTAGGAGATTACTATGTTGAATGGCAAGAGCCATCCCTTGCATCAGTGCATGTATCTCCGCCTCGAAAGCTTCATTACAATTGAACATGAACCAGTATGTCGCAAAGATCACCGAACCGTCATGATAGTGAAGAATCATGCCTACAACCGCCTTACCGTCGTCCAAAGACAATGAACCATCAACAGATAACGTGACTTGATCGACCGGAGGTGGCGGCCGGCGATGTGCAGGGGTTGGAATCCTCACCTTTGGCTGTACCCCGTCTTCCACAATTGGCATCTTTCCTTTAACTATCTCCTCAATTGTGTACCTCCCAGCATGAACAATGGATTTATGTAGCTATCAAGGAACTCCACCATAATATCAATGAGGGAGCCTCCTTGCCATGAACTAGGTCATTGTGCAGCTGCAAAATTCGTCATATTAGATAATAACGCGGTCGCGAACGTCCTCTGAACAACCACACAAAACGTTAAGTAGCCAGTCCTGTCTCAACTAGTTGGTCATCGGCAGGTAGTTGCCGTCTAGTCTTCATCCTTACCCAAATACACTTGGCGTGGTCACAAGAAATCAATGCATGGCAGATTCCCTTGTCCTCTACACCACACAAGGTGTAGGTCGAACGTGTGGACAAGTGCCGAGAAGCCTTGCAGGTCGTGATAGCAAGAGCACCCGACATTGCGCTCCAAAGCATGATCTTCCTCTTTTGGGGAACCTTTGATCGCCAGGTTAAGTTCCAAATGATCCGATCCCCTTCTGGGCTCGAGCTCAAGGCCCGCCGCGAATAAATCATCATTAGGACCTGTCGTGAGTTGATATGCACTCCTGATAGAAAAGTGCCCACACTTCTTTGGGAACCATAGAAAAAAACCCTCACGCTGTCTGGGTGAAGTGTGGATTTTTACAATTTCACGCACATCCATGGGCTAGAAGTGGTCCTGAAGACGAGATGAACATCCCAAGCATCAAAATCCGAGACCCAATCAAAGCCGCAGTTCTGTTTAGGTGTCACTGACCTGAAAGACGGTCCCCTAGGGATCCAGGGATCTCTCCATGTTCGAGTGGAAGAGCCATCCCCCACTCTTCAAATTATACCTTTCTTAACAAGTTCAAGTATGTACTCAATACCTTTTCATATTGCCGATGAGTTACCCAAAAACACCGTGTCTAGAAGATTGCCATTGGGGAACCATTACAAGTTATTACACCTAATGTGTGAGTGATCTCCTATAGAAAATAGCCTAAAAAACACACTTTGCCTACCAACACAAAAATGGAAGAAATGAGGTTGCCAATCTCTTTCACGGTCTCCATCCTTCTTCAGATCTCTCTCTCATTCTCCCTTACCACATTGGCGACAATTCAAATCTCTCTCATTATGTCCCCATATTTGCAATAAAATATGTTCACGCGCGATCTACATTAAATCAAAATTTTGATTTGAGTGAATTTCTGCAATACAAGTTATGTATATTTTTCAAAAGAAATCCACTTTATGATTTTTGCTTGTAACACAGACCACCTATTTTATTTTATATGCCAAAAATTGATAGACACGAGTTTACACCCACTTAATAAGTGCATCAATTTTTATCTGTGAGTTCTACAAAACTTTAAAAAAATGCTATAATCACTAAGTTTCGGAAAATGAGTTACGCTTTTTTTAATAAATCCGCTCTAGTCGACAGCCAGATGATCTAGGTCCACTCCAACGAAATGTGGGCCAAAAATATCTCCACTCATAGGAGAAGAGGCAGTGGTTTCTCAAAAATAAAAAGAGGCTGTGGATGCCTGACTACAGTCTTTGAACAAACATTTTTGTCATTTCACCGCTTCCGGTGCTCAAATAATCGAAGAGATTAATCATTGTACCACCAGCTCCACATAAAAGAACAAAACACAAAAACGCCGGGAACCAACCCAATGATAAAACACCACTTGAAACGGACCATGCATGCGTCCGGAATCCCATAAGCATGCCCTCCGGAATAAAACAGATTAGGGTCACACCACGCCGATCAGCATCACGTCCATGTGACCGGCCACCAACCGGAGAGAAGAGAATGGAGTGGAGAGCGGCCGCTAGCTTGCGTCGGGTCCAATCCAAACGCCATAAACACTCGCACCACTCGGCGCCGTGGTGGGTAGAGCGAGCGAGCGAGGGAGGGGCCGGGGACCAGACCAACCCCCCATGATGCTGTCAGTGGCACGGAATGTAGAGACAGCGCTGATAGGCCGATGGCCGAACGCCGTGCGCTGTTGCCCGTGATTACCCGAATGGCCGGATCGCCTTTGCTAGTAGCCTTTTTGGCTTTGGTGGTGCCTCGCAGGTGATGGTGGTGGTGGGCAGGCCGGGACCATTTACAGCGGGGATAAGAAATCGTCCAGGTGAAGAACTGTTCCTTGGAACGAATGCTGAAGTTTCTCAAAAAAACAAACAAACTTGGGATGCTGAATGTGCCAAGCTGGCACTGACTGACATGTGGAGGAGCATCGCGCCCGTCCGTCGCCGTCCCGCTGCATCCGGTAACCACCGCCGATCAACGTCGGGCGGGCCGTGGCGAGGGAAGTCCACACGGTTACGATCTCCCCATCATTTCACCCCACCCCACCTCACCTCACCCCAAAGCGTCAATGGCAATCAATCCGAGGACGGGGAAAGATGGGCTGGTAGCGGGCGGGTGAAAAGGCAGGAAATACTTTTGCTTCCCCTCCGCTGGGGCAAACGCAAGCCCGAACGAAAAGGGCTTCGTCAGCCGGGGGCAGAGAGGTTAAAAAAAGGTTAGGGGAGGGGAGGCCGGCGGAGCGCGAGGGGCGAGGCGACGCGGTGCGGTGCCGGGGACGGGCGCTGCTGGCCACGGTTATAAAAAGTAACGGGGCGCGTCGCGGGTAGAAAGCCAGGGGAGGGTGCGGTGGGAGGCAGGCCGCGGCTCATTTCCCCCCTTCTTTCTTCCCCCCGCCCGCCCGCGCCGTTCCACGCCGCCGCCGCCGCCCGCCGCCCGCCGCCCGCCGCCCGCCGCCGCCACGGGGACACAATCACCGGCGCCGCGCCCCACCGGCCTCCTCCTTTGCGCCGCGCCGCGCGGGGCTGGGCTGAGGTGGGCCGCGCCGACACGCGGCACGTGGGGAGCCACCACCACCACCACCACCACCACCCCTATGCTCCTTTGCCCGCCTGCTAAGGTAAGGTATGGCATCGATTCCGCTCCATTGCCCCCGCCTTTCTCGCGTCGCGCTCCGTCCCTCTCTCTCCCTCCTCGCTTTGCTTGCTCCAGGCGATTTGCCCCGGATCTGTGTCCCAGCCGCCGGATCTGAGCGCCCACCGGGCATTCGCTCCAATGCGAATCCATGTATAGGTTTGTGCCTGGCCGTGCCGCGATAGCTTATTTTCAGGATTATGCCGGGATGCTTTTCTGTTTGGATTTTTCATCTTCCTTTGGTTGGCTGATTTAGATTTTTGCGCGGAAAGGTTCCTTTTCTCCCGTTAAAAGGCGCCTTTTTTCTTCCTATAGATGAGAAAAATCTATGTTTTCTGTGCTTGCAATGTAAATTGTGATTGAGGTGGCAATGCAGAAGTTTGAGAGAGAAGCTCAGAAAAACAAGGTAGCAATGCAGGCGTTTTCCCACTAATTCCAACCTGAGGCGATATTTTGAGTTCGGAGATGTTTCTATATGTATGGATTTTGCTACGATAAATCCGTTTCAGCCAGTAATGGGATAGCAACATTATTTTCGAATTTTGATGTTTCAAGCAACGGTATAGCTCGATCACCACGCCAATTGAGATGCCGGGTCGTTATTGCGATTGATGAATAGCATCATTGATAGTACCGATACTGTTTGCAATGTCCAGCTCCACCAATGTTATACACTTCTACCCTGGTATTAATGTATGCCTAGTATTATGTGATTTAGGTAAACGAGTGCTATATCTGATTCTGATATTTCCCTGAGAACTATGTTTCGTTTTGTGCATTAATGTTGGTTCTAGCAACACGTGAGCCGCAAATTATTATCCACTTAAAATGATTCAATTCAAAATTTTGCTGTGTACAGACCTCCATGTATCTTAGTATATTAAAAGGGATATTAAAATGGATTCTTTAAACTAGATTCGGAAATGTTGCTAAATTTGTGTTGGTTTCTGATAGAGATCGTCAGTTGACTGCGTTATATATAATCCAAATGGTTCTACGTCGCATCAATGTTCATGCTTCGTGGAAATGATTCTTGTTCCTTTGGCATACACTATACCATGTCATCGAGCGCAAAAAGTTTTATAATCGACCAAATCATTCTGATTCAAATAAATTGTGTCAGATTGCACCAGCAGTGATCTTGGGAGCTTAAAGTGTTCATCAAAGACATGGGAAAAGTGGTCTTCGGGGCATATCACCTTCAATGCAAGCTATTTGTTTCAGAAGAAACTTTTGATTGGCGTGTTTTAGCTCGTGGGAACACCCAACTCTTCTCTCTGGTGAACTGCACATAGTGGTTCTATGCTCAACGACAGCAGGCTGAGGCGATCCTGAAGCGATACTCCAGTCTATGCTCCACATCTACATGTAAAATACCTGCTTTGTTTTTCCTTTCTTTTGTTCTATTGGCTAAGTTTTTATCATCTCATTTTGTTTATTCTCTGTTTATCAGCGCATCATCTCCAGAGTAACTTCTTATTGTAGTCAAATCCAGTAGTAGATGCTGATCATGTAAACTGGCCAATGATGTGCTCGTAGAATAATTAAATTCTACTATTGGGAGTTCAAACTGTTCTTTCCTGCATGTATTAGCATGTGAAAACTAAATCAACCATATCTCTTGAAACATTCTGAATTTCTTTTCTCTTAATATATGCAGGGTCAACCATCTTTACTGCATTCAGTCTCCATCTGTCACTCCCTAGTTAGTTGCCATTTGCTTGCTGTATATCATCTGAGGTCAAGGCTCATCCTTGCTATATTCTGGGACTCTACTATGGTTGCTGTGGGATCTTCGTGAGGGGACCAAATCCAAGACAGCACAAACCAGTGGAGGCCCACTGTTCAATTGACGGATCATACATCTGTTTGTGCGAACTGATAGACAAGATATTGGTCGCTTAGACTTTGAAACACTTCTCTGTGCTTGTTGTTGATTTTTCTTGATACCTGGTTGTCCCAAAGGAAAAAGGCTTCTTGATACCTGGTTGTCCCAAAGGAAAAGGCTTCTTGATACCTGGTTGTCCAAAGGAAAAAGCTTCTATCAGGCAACAAAATTACCGGAAAAATGGATAGGTAACCCTTTTTGTATTTTTTCTCTCCTCTGGATAACAGTTGTATTGAATTCCTGTTTCGGGTTTGCATTTTTCTTAGAGCGCCTTATCTTTGCAGATTCAAGTTGATTAAGGAAGTTGGTGATGGGACATTCGGGAGCGTATGGCGCGCTATAAATAAACAAAATGGTGAAGTTGTACGTATCCTATGATATATCACTCTTGCTATCTTTACCTGAACTGTGAAACAATGAAGTTGACGTCAATGTTTCATATTAATCCAATGTAGGTGGCCGTTAAGAAAATGAAAAGAAAATATTATTCTTTCGAGGAATGTATGAGTTTACGTGAAGTAAAGGTACTTTAGCCAGTCATGTACTCGTCTCTCTGATGTTCTCTAGCATATTACTTACCTTCAAATAACATGTCTTCTTTATTGAAGTCTTTGCGGCGCATGAATCACCCTAACATAGTGAAGCTCAAGGAGGTCATAAGGGAAAATGATATATTATACTTCATAATGGAATACATGGTACTTAAGCACGTGATTGATAACAAAGTTTATAACTACCCCATATCATGCTTTTGTTGAATATTGTCCATTGTTTCATTTAGGAGTGCAATCTCTACCAACTTATGAAAGACAGAGTAAAGCCTTTCGCGGAGTCAGATGTCCGTAATTGGTGCTTTCAGATTTTCCAGGCTCTTGCCTATATGCACCAGAGGGGATACTTTCATCGTGACCTCAAACCAGGTAGGATTTCTTATGTACTCATCTACCCCCTGCCCTGTATTTTTCTACCAGCCAAATTAAATGGAAGTCTGACATTAGTGTATTGTGAGTTGTAGTTAAAGCCTTCTAGCAGCTATAGGTGTTCCAATTTTGCAGATCAACTGATGCATTTTTTTCATTCATTCATATTTTATTGTTTTATTAACTATATTGCTATACCATTCCAGAGAATCTGCTGGTTAGCAAAGATGTCCTAAAGCTAGCAGACTTTGGTCTAGCAAGAGAAATTTCATCTGCACCACCATACACAGAATATGTGTCAACACGCTGGTTAGTGCCGCTCCCATGGCCCCACCACACAGAGAACAACAATGATATACTTTTTCTTGAACCCCATGTGTTTCAATGTCTTAGGTACCGAGCACCTGAAGTATTGCTCCAGTCATCTGCTTATGATTCTGCAGTTGGTAAGAACCTACTACTGTCTACTTTGTGCTTGCCTACACATGCTAGCAACTAATAAATGGACCTTCTTCATAACTTGGTAGATATGTGGGCAATGGGTGCCATAATGGCCGAGCTGTTGACACTCCATCCTCTTTTCCCTGGCACAAGGTAATATGGTTTACCATATCTTCTGCTATTGTGACTGGCACTCTCTGCATACTTCGTATGATTGTGTCTGTTCTTTTCCCCTCGTAGTTACCGTCTTTGATCACCTGTTTCTTATTTCACTGTATAGTGAAGCAGATGAGATTCTCAAGATTTGCAACGTTATTGGTTGCCCAGATGAGCAAACATGGCCCCAGGGATTGTCTCTTGCAGAGGCGATGAAGTATCAGTTCCCACAGGTCAATATTCATGTTTCCTTGTCTATAGTACTATTGCTGTGATTCTCCAGGTCAGCAATTCTTGTGTAAGCAGTAGAATTAATACCTGTTATTTGCGTTATCTGTAAGTTACTAGCATCTGTGAGCTGTGTTATTTCCTTCGTCGTCATGCATTTTATGCCCTCATGTTAATCTTATGGGTCCTGTTTTCTTGAGAATATCAGGGCTGCTTCACTTTGCATATTGTGTAGCCTTCACACCTTTTTAAATGTTATGCATGGTTTATGGAGTGCAACTCCATGTTAGGTTTGAAACAAGACACGAGTCAACATCTTGTTCTAACTTGATTCATGACTTTAACCTAGATTATGTGTGATCTCATGCACTATGAATGCACATGAATACTTGCTCAGTGGTTCTTTGTATATGCAGATCAGAGGCAGTCAACTGTCGGAGGTAATGAAATCAGCCAGTAGTGAGGCAGTTGACCTTATATCTGTAAGTCCTTCAAATTTTTTGTCCTAGATGACATTCCCGAACTCATTGGGTTTCCTAATTTTCCTTTTCCTTCTACATCTTGTAGTCTCTGTGCTCATGGGATCCTTGCAAGAGACCAAAAGCTGCGGAAGTTCTCCAACATGCCTTCTTTAAGGTAAAACTATTTTTCCGATTGTTTTGTTGCTTTTTCTTTGCTCTGGAGACTAATCGGTTTTCTTCTTGTCATCCAACCATTAGGATTGTACATATGTTCCAGCTTCTGTCCGGCCAAAAGCTGCAGGCCCTCCTAAAACTCCTCCGGGTGGTTAGTATACACACTTTTGCCCCATAGCCTGTTCGTTCCTAAAGCCCTTGTTTTACTATGATTGGTCCATTTGTTTCAGTTGGAGCAAGAGGAATTTCAGGACACATTGCTCGGAGATACTCCACTGGAGCTCTCTCCACAAGCAAACCTGCTGCCAACATATCTATAAAACCGAGCAGCTTATCTAAGATCGGTAATATATATTATCTCTTTTCTTGAAGTACTCATAATTAACTAGCATTACCGTCTAAATTGTAAATCTGTTTATCCATCTTCCAGGTGTGCAAAGAAAACTTCAATTGGATCGCCAGGCACCACAGAAGAGTGCACGGCCCACTGAGAGTAACACCAAACAAACTACTAGTCGAGTACCGGCAAGGAATAGCCCAGGCAAGTTTCCTATATAAAGCTGCTTTGCGAAATTTCCATCCCAAAGCTTGTGGTCTGATCATGAAGATCTTTTTTCTTTCTTTCACTGGAACCACAGGGAACGCTAACCCGATATTAAGGCATTCACGCAGTTTACCTGAAACTGGCCGGGCAACGGTTCAGAAGGTTTCGACTATCACCGAAAAGCTTGCTCATATGTCTGTGACCTCTCGAACACGCACGGCCGTGAAGCCCCCTGTCCCGCTGTTGAAGGCTGGGCATCTCAAGTCAGACTTCCTCGGGAAATCCGACGAAATCCCTCCGGCAAAGAGATTGACAAGAAAGTTGGTGAGCTAAAGGAGTATAGAGTGAAGAACCGATCAGCTGCAGCAGCGAGGCATGTAGGCTACAGAGCGAAAACCAGGTTCGCCTCGGCGCCAACCGTGTGTTTTGCCTGTTCATGGTCCTTGCGGTAGTTTCCTCCCCCTGCTTGCTTGGTTCAGGTGCCACGGTAGAGAATGTGTTGCGAATGTGCTCGAGCCTGCTGACCTTTCCCTGTACTGGGGTGTGGATTTGCGCATGCCCCGAGTTTGTCCCGTGTATGAACAAAACATGTGTGGTCTTGGTTTGGTTTGTGAACTAGTTTTCTCAATCGTTCATATCGCAGACCGTTGTCCTGTTCATGTGCAATCTAACAGTCGACAAACCCTCCAATGAAGAGGATAATTTGGCTTCGCTTGTACAGTTTGCGAGATTTAATAGAACACGTTAGTGTATCCTGCCTGGTCAAATTTTAAATTTGTTGGGAAGTCCATTCATATTTTTTGTTGCGCCGTGACAATATATCTCCCTTACATTTTCAAAGCTTTTAGGGTCTCTTTGGTTTGAAGTTTTTTGTTTTGTTTTGCATTTGCATTTGCTATTGGTGAGTTTGCCTGAAAATTGAAAGGCTGTAAGCCAACTTTTAGTCCATTCGATCCGAAAAAATGGATCGGGGTTCCACTATCAAATGGATAATTGGTGCAAGCTGAAGGATATTGCACCCCTCATTCATGAAAAATTGGAAGGTGAGCGAGGCGCTCAAGGAAAATGCGAAAATGCTTGGATTTATAAAATTAAGCTCTCCTATGATTTCTCCTGGGTTCATATCGTTGAGTTCATTGACCTTTGGATGCTTATCCATATTTCCACCTTGATGACCTCACTGAGGATGACATTGTTGGGAAGCATACAAATGATGATCATTACATGACGACCTCTGCAAATAAAGTGCAATTCTTGGTGATCATCTTATCCTCTATGGAGCACACGGTTTGGAAGCTTGGCCCTCCCAAGGTCAAGTTTTTCATGTGGCCTATTCAATTAAGGGTTTGGACGGCCGACCGCTTGGCCAAGCGTGGATGGCCAAATTGCGGCCCTTGTCCGCTTTGCGGAAGGGAGGCATCATGCTTTGATTTTGAAGCCTTGTCTTTGTCTGGCTTCATCTTGGGACTTTTGATACCTTCTTATGGATTGGTGGATCAACCTCTCCGGGTTGACACCCATGGCATCTCTTACAATGCTTGTGTATTGGACAATTTGAAACGAAAGGAATTCCCGTGTCTTCCATCACAAGAGTGCCCCTCCGTCTATTTTGCTCAACATGATAAAGAATGAGGCCAAGCTTTGAGTCATCACCGTCTGTAGATTTGTGAGGTGCCAGTTTGGGCGAGATTTGTACTTGGCCATGGCTGAATTGTGGTCTGTACCACCACTTGAATCGTTGAAACCCATTGAGAAGGAATCGCTACTGCAGGTCCTAGCTCCTCTAACTGATACTCAGAGAAGTATGGTGATGCTAATCTTTTGGAGAAACTGGTATGTCCGGAACGAAATTATTCACTTCAAACCTGCCCCACCTATGGTTGTCTCGATGCGGTTCTTACAGGAACATATGAATATTTTGTTCTGCATCAAAATAAACCCCCATATGGACCTGGCAAAGGGAAAGCACAACATTAATTTTGAACAAAGAGCCATACCACAAGTGCAAGCCCCCGTTACTGAAACTTCATGGAAACTGCCTCAACAAGGTTGGGTCAAGCTTAGTACGGATGGTTCTTACTCATCGGAAGGTGGTGCGGGAGCTGGGATGATATTGCCGAATGTTGATGGCACTATTGCATGGAAGGGGTGTCTTTTGCAATTCAACGATCTGATCTTCCCATTGAAATCGAGATGGATTCAAGGGTGGCGGTGGAGATGCTATCCAGTGGTGTAGTGGATCGTTCAGTTTATGCTTCTTTAGTTGGTGAAATTAAATTTCTGTTAAACCTTAGGCATTCTTGTATTACTCATGGCCCTCGCTGTCAGAATAAAGCGAGTGATAGGCATGCCAGCTTTGCTAGATTAGAAGGTCGGACCATGACCTGGGTTGGGTCAGGACCTGAGGATATTGTGAAGATTGTCCTGGAGGATTGTAAGGACCTGGTAATTGAGTAATACAAGTTTTGTTTACCCGAAAAAAAATAGTCATCACCGTCTGCCAAAAAATTAGGGTCAATAATGCCTGGAGAGTAATCATTTTATCTTCTAAGGCTGGTCGCCTATAACACAAACTCTATTTTGCTCTTAATTAATAGATGAGGCAAAACTTATGCCTTTGTTTTGAAAAAAATGATAATTGGTGTAAGTCAATTATTTGGGAGAAGAAAAGGAGGAAAGCTCCGCCCCGAGGCCGAGCCAGGATAAAGCACTAGCCAGAGATAGGCGGAGCATTGACATGGAGGAGGGGGTTTGCTTTTCGTGCTTGATCGCCGCTCGGATTAGGTAAAGTGCCGCCGCAACTAGAGGCAAGTTAGGGAGACGAGTGGCTAATGAAGGGGTGGTTGGAGTAGGAAGAAAGGACAGAGGAGAAGGAAAGGCTCAATGAAAGTGTGTTTTTACTTTCTAGTCTCGGGCTCACATGCACCCGGATAAACAGTAAAATCCAAAAAAAAAATATTACTGAAAATCTAAAAAAAACTATGTTTTTAGATAAACACTGATGAATGTTTGAATTGCATGTGAATTTTTGTTATGAAATCACATTCGTGGATGTGTGGGAAAAAATAAAATTAGTGCTTGAAAATGATACGAAATCTTTTTGAAGTATAGATTCTGTTTTAATAGCCCAGACCTCCACAAATGCCATTACATCACAAATTCTTGCACGCAGCTGAAACAGTCAATCAATGTTTACATTAATTTTTGTTTCAGATTTTAGATTTTTTTTTTGTTATTCCCCCCTTCAGCTTTTACTGTTCATATGTGAGCATGTGAGCTCGAGACTAGAAACTCAATGTCCATGCCACATTTCTACCAATATTACTATTCATCATCCAAGGTGCAGAATAACTTATTCTTCACTCGAGATAAACTTTCGATCACTTTATAAACAAATTACGTTTGGAATACAAATATTTACATTCATATTGATTCACTACGTAAAATTTGGTATAAAAAACAGAAAAAAGGTTATAAGACCACAAATATCGTATTTTATGTATGTTTTACACTATGTTTTTACATTCGTAATTTTACGTAACATAAAATATTTTAATTTTACGTAACATAAAATATTTTTTACGACGAGTATATATATTTTCTTACGTTCTCTTTTTACGTATGAAATAAGACACAATTTACGAAACCTAAAAATACGATTCATTGATGCCTAAATAGAGAGGGGGTGAAGAATAATTATTCCTCACCCAGGGTGATATATATTTTGCCTGTTTCTTACCGTTGTGAAGTTCATGTGAGATGTAAACAGATCAAAGTTCACACAAAGCAGGTAAAAAAAGAACAAAGAAACAAACGAATCACACTGTTCAGCAAGATACAAACCGATCCAAAAAAAGGAAGAACCGGTAACTGTCCGGTAAACACATTTTACACAAGGCGCAGCAGCCTGAACCATCAACCTGCCGCCTCTCAAGACGAATGAACTAACGGCAGCACTAGCTTTAGTACAGTATAAGTATCACACCATCACCATCACTCTAACCTACGAGGCCCCCCTGGCCCCGGGTCACCTGACGTACGTACGTGTTAGCTGGCTGCTTCAGTTCAGTGTGCCTCGCTCGCTCGTCGCTACAGATACTGCGTGTGTATCCGGTCCCGGTTCTGCTCCCACCACACCTTGGCCCGCTCCTCGCCGAACCGCTCCCGGCTGCAACCACACACACCACACCATCGGTCGGGTTAGTCGAGTTCACGTGAGCGCGCGAGATTCGGCAGCAGCAAAGGTGATGGTCGGCCAGCGGTGGGCGTGCCTGAAGCGGACGCGGCGGAGCTCGCGGGTGCCGTCGCCGAGCTCGCGGATGGTGATGTGCACGCCGGGCTCGTCCTGCTCCACCCACTCCGCCGCCTCCAGGTCGCTCGCGTTGCTCACCGACACGGACGCCTCGTCCAGCGACGACGTCGTGGCGCGCGACGGGTCGTAGGGCGCCGGGGCGCCGGCGCTCGACGGCATCGACGACGCGCCCGCCCCCGCGGCCGAGTTGAGCATGTTGAAGTGGTGCGCCCACACGTGGTCCGACGGGTCCGGCACGGCCGTGGACGGGTGGCACGCCGCCTTGTATGACGTGGTCCGGGTGATGGGCCGCTCCCTGCTCGCCGCCGTCGCGGACGGCGGCGGCAGCACCACCGGGCTCTCCCTCGTCGAGCCGGCGCGGGAGTAGAATGATTCTCTCTGCTTGCAATGCAAACCCACGGTTTCAAATCATGATCAGGACACGGATGAAACGAGAGGACGACGTGGAAATATATGGCGGCCGGCGACTGACCTGCATGGCGTCGTCGATGGAGGACGACGGCGTCGAGAGGCCCTGCTGCCGGAACGTCTGCACGTTGTACAGCTCCACCACGCGGTCGTAGTTCTCGCCCCACCACCGCTGCGCCTCCCACTTGTTGAACATCTCCCGGCTGCATTTTTTTTATGTTGCTTCATCAGTTCATCACTATCACTCAGTCTCTGCTCACGATACCGGCATCGAAGCATCGATCGATCGGCACAAACCTGAAGCGGATGCGCTTGAGGTCGTTGCCGGCGCCGCCGGGGATGGAGACGAAAGTGATGTGCACGCCGGGCTCCACCTGCGCGGTCCACTCCCTCGGCACGCGGTCTTCCTCCAGGACGACGGCCTCCTCATCGTCTTCGTCGTCCTCGGCCTCCTCCCCGATGCTCGGTATCCAGCTCGCGCTCGGGTTCCTCGCGTGCGGCTGGAAGCCATGGTTGATCTTGGGCATGTCCCACGTTGTTGACGGGGCGCCCGCGCTCGACGTTGTTCTCGTGTAGCTGTACGCCTCGCCGGCCCCGTCGGACGTGAAGCCCGAGTCGTCGATGATGCCCGGGTACGCGGCCAGCCGGCTGGAGCGGTGGAAGCGGTTGCCCCTGAAAGATGGGCTCCCGGTGGCCTTGTAGTGCTTGCCGGAGCCGGAGAACTTGAGCACCATGTCCTTGAGCTGGAAGCACATTTGCAGGAGCTCCGTCAGTCAGCCAGATCACCAGTTAATGTAATGTAATATACTCATAGCAGAGAAGACAAAATATCAATTGTGACTCGAATTAGTAGCAGCATATAGTACTAGAGAAGGGAACGTGTTATAATTAATTAATTAATTGTTAATTCTGCTCGATTAGGACCCAACAAAAGAACGGACGAAAGGAACGCCGTGTTAGCTTGCCGGGGTGTAGCTGAATATTCAGACACACATTTCTTCAAACAATATCACCAAGTACATCAGTGTCGCGAATATATTTCGCCTCGCAATCAAACGTCTCGCTCTAGTGTGATGCCATCCATCACGGTTAGTACTTTCTTTCCTTTTTATGAGAAAATCTCTCTCTCTCTCTCTCTCGCTCTCTAGACACCACCACTACCACATTTGCCGGGAAAATATCAGGTGATACCAGCACTTAGATGATACCGTGATACGGGCTTCTTGGCCGTTGAATCTCAGATCCAACGGCTCCCAAAAGTCTGTTGTACCTACACGAAATTTTGGGACTCCCGGTCGACTTTTTTGCAAAATGCTCAAGAACTCCCGGGAGCCGTCGGATCTGAGATCCAACGGCTCCCAGAAGCCCGTATCATGGTATCACCTAACACATGGTATCACCTGATATCTTCCACATTTGCCGATGGGGCATGGTATCACCTAAGCATCAGGAGCGCCTGATATTTCCCCCCACACACGTCCATAATGAACGGCTCCGCCCAACCCAAGAGCCACAGGGAGGAATCATCATGATCACTTTTAGGTCTAGAATGTGCCCTAATCTTGTTCCCGAGATCAAGCATCAAGATCGTGCCTACTGCGCGATAATTCATCAGTCTTTAAGCAAAGCTTCAATCATAACAGCGGGTGTTTAATGATAGATGCCGTTGTTGTAACTAGTGGTAGTAGGAAACTAACCACGCAGCACATTTTCGCCTAGCAGAAGCCTAGAAAGCACAAAGGAACCAAAGGCCAAGCGCACCACCGTGCCCTAATTAGTCCAGCGAGGACATCTTTGGTCTGAAGCAAGGAACAAATAAGCACTTGCGTACTACTACTCCAAGACAAAGCGGCACCGATCATGATCAGCCAGCGGGGAGGCTCCCATAATGCATGCCGTGTGTTGCCTAACGTTTGTACTTTAACTGATTGCAAAAGCCAAAGCGTGCAGGAAGCCAAGGTGTAAGGAAAGGACAGTGGTAAACACTCGAGGGGTGGCATGATAACGCAGAGAGGATGATGGATGGATGGTGCAGGGAGAAAGAGGCCCGGGCCGGGCCTAACTCTGAAGCCTAGCCTTGCGACCAGGCCCATGGAAGGACCACGGAATGAGTGATGCTACTACGGGCTACGGCCCATCTTTATTCCTTGCGTGAGCAGCAACACACACATTTGGAACTCGTATTATAAAAGAAAAGATAGAGAGAGTATTATAGTATTGGCTTGGAAGAGTAAAGCCAAGGGTTAAATCAACCAAAGAGCGGCTTTCCAGGATGGAAAGGCCCCATTAGCATCTCCCATCATGTGTGCTTCGCCATACCTTTCTTCGGAGCAAGGAGGACGGACGGACGAACAAGCAACGGTACCAAGTGCGAAAGGCGGAGAGGGGAATGTGGGGAACAAAAGAGACGAGAACAAATCCCATCCTTGCGCACAGCGCCCCAACCCAAGCCTGGGCGTTCCGGTGCGGGGATCGATCTAGGAAAAGCAGGCGCTTATATTCCCCTGGGCCTTGACCGACTTTGTGACCCAATAATGTTTGGAAATGTGAGGACACTGCCATCCATCATGTACTACTAGCTCCCACTTGGACGCCGTTCTCCCGCTTTTCATTTGAAAAACTAGACTGGAATGCTGTGTACTGTGTAGTACTCCTATGTGTAGTGTATTGCTGTGCTCCCTCGTGTTCTTTTTCAAATGTCAGGGACGGCATGCATGGTGGCGGCGAGTAGTTGCAGAGCGCATTCAAATCGACTGATCAATGCATGTAGTACGTACGTGGTACTCTCTGCACGAGCAGAAAAAGCAGAAGCCATGGTGGGCGCTAGCTTAGCTTATAGCTGTTCTTCCTCGGGATACCGAGTTTATTTGTTGGGATGCAGCAGCAGAACACTAAGTGAGTAGGTAAAGATGCAGGTACGTAGTACTAGCCAGTACTGCACGACGGAGTACCTGTGAGGTGAGGGACTTGCCGGCGTCCCTGCCGTTGGGTGCGCCGACAGCACGGGAGCCGTCCTCCCCACCGTCCTTGGTCGAGCAGGCGATGCATGCCAGCATCTTCGCTTCTCCCTTTCACGCCCCGCCGGCCACTCGATCGCCTGCTTCTCCCCTGCTCCGGATCACACTGCATCGCAGGTATATATAAACGATTGTTGGTCAGTTGATGCTTATCTTGAGTGACACCAAGCTTCACGCAAAGGAAAATGCAAATGAAAGGTACTATGAGTGGTTAAGAAGCTCCGGTGCAGCCGCCGGCGGCATGTGTAAAGGGTCTGTCTCTTCTCGGATGAAATGAATGAATATTTCTGCATCGAGCTTGTACTACGTGGCACCGGGCCCGTACGAGAAGCACATGAGCAGGGCCATGCACGTTTGGGCGAGAGAGCGCGCGGCCGGCATAAATTCCTGGTGAGTCAGTCAGTCAGTGCCGGCGACGTGCGCGCGCCGGCCACCCTAGGCCTAATGCATGCCGCTCTGGCTTCTGCCGCAGCCTTTGGGGCCTCCTTAAACGCGCGCACGCGGACAGACAGCAACCGCACGTCGCGCGCGCGCGGGCAGCCACAGCCCACAGCCATCGCCGTACGGGCGCGGGCGGGCACCCGCAGTGCCTATCGGGAGAGCGCACGCGCGCGCGACGGGCCCCATGCATGTGTGCACGCGCCGGGGTGGGCGCCCGGGCCTGGCAGCTAGCTCCGTCCATGTCCGCTCTGGCTGCAGGGCACTGTCGCTATGCCATGTCTGTCTCGTGGAGCTGCCCCGCTAGGCCTGCCTGCGCGGTAGGGGCGCCACGGAGCAAGGAACCGAGTCAATGCGGCAGCGTAGGAGGCTGCTTCGTACCACAGGCTATTTGACAGAGAGCAGCGGCCGGTGGTGCAAGGCCGGTAGGTTGATTGCATGCATGGATCGGTGATAGGGTGATGATGGTGATAGGGTGACACCGGATCGATGCTGGATGCTGCGCGCTGCGAGCCCGCCACCGGTGGGATCGGCGGGCTTTCCAGAGCGGAGGGGTGGGCTCGGTACTCGGTAGAGTGTTCATTCAAGTTCTACGACGGACCTCATTTATCTGCGCTGCTGGACACTGCCGCAAGTACAGCGTGCGCAGAGAAGGTTCCGCGTAGATCTTGTGTAAGTGTATATCATCGCTGGAAATAATTCTCGCAAAAAAAGAAACAGTAACAATAAATTAACAGTGGTAGAACAACTACAGCCTGCCCTCTCCGTATGTCGATCCCTGTCGCTCCTCTGTCAACTAGCTTGAGAGAGGCGAACAAGGGACCTGATGGATGCACATATTGCCCGGATAGGCCCATGAGGCCCTTTAAAGCCCAGGGCCCCGAGGAGGTTCTCAGTCACTGCCAGTGGACCCCAGTAGAAAAATCGAAATGCAAACCAACATCACAAATCCAACATCGCCGCTGCCCCCGCTGGCTAACGTAACAGCGTGCCATCTCAGAGAAGACGAAGATAACAGTGCCACGCAGAGATTTAAGACCAGCTATCGTGCCGTTTCCCTAGTAAGTAAGCAGAAGCTGATATACAGTACGAGCCATGAACGGATATGCATAATGCCAAATGAAGGCAGCACACTTACCAGTTCCGCAAACGTCCCGATCGATCGCAGCAGCGCTTCCGGCCACGCGGCAACAGTGGTGGCGTCCGTATCCCCCCCTCGCTCACTGCTGCATCCTTTTTTGAGTGGTCATCTCACTGCTGCCTCTGACGCCGAAATGATCTGAAGATTGAACAGGGGGAGGAAGCGGATTATACTCCACTTACACTTAGTATGATGATGATGATGATGATGAGGCAAGTGTGCGACTAAACTCGAAGGTTCGGTGTGCGAATCACCACGAGCCTCCCCCGGTAAAGAAACGGAGGAGGGGGAGGAGGAGCACTCATTGGTGCGAGAGGGCGTCCACGCCACGGGAAAAAGGCAACAGTGGGAAACAATGGGATTGCCCCCCGAATGGATGGATGGACCCAGGAGAGGCTGGAGATCTTAATGATCAACGCCGCAACGAACTCGATGGCGCCCGGTAAAAAGAGAGAAGGCAGACCGAAATGTCCTAGAAAAAGAAGGAAAAAACAGAGCCGGAATGCGAAGCCAAGACGAACAAGATCTTCTCGGGAAAGGGAAAAAAAGAAGAACTTGGGAGTACCTTCTTCTTCTTTCCTCTTCTTGGCCGCTGCCTCCGCTCTGCCCCTCTGGTGAAATGCCCGGTGGAGCAGACTGCGGACGGATCCTCGTAGGCGCGCGCGGGCGGGCGGGCCGGCGGCGGAGGGGCAGGATCGCCGCGGAAACGACACCGCGCGGCAGAGCTTTCGGCTGACGCAGCCCTCTCGAGCAACTGACGAGGAGGGAGTTTATTTTCTTTCTAATTGTTTTCGCGAGAGGGGAGCAGAGGGAGGAGGGAGGAAGCAGAGAGGGTGCTGGTGGGGGCGGGGGGTGGGACGGGATCCCCGGATTCGCTCCCGGCCGTCTGATCCGCCCTGGAAATCGAGCGAATGCCGCTGCCAGAGCACGCGCACGCCGACCCAGCGCTGTGCCTCGCCGAGTATTTATATAGGGGCCTCGCCTCCGCCCCGCCCCGGCGAGGTCGGTCGGTCGGTTTTCAGGCGATCCGCGCCGTCCGTATCGCCCGCGTGGATGCGTGGCGTGCCGGCACCGTGGGACGGATTCGGGTGGGCCGCCCGTGCTCCCCCCGCGCCGGGGCCCGGCCCGTTATCCACGCATGGCGCCCTACGTGACGTGTTTGGTGCTAAAGTTGCGCAGGTGCGGGGCGCGTGACGGACCGCCGTGGCCGTGCTGCTACACGGCGGTCGGGTTGGGGGTCTCGCCGAGGCGGCGCGGCCGTGTCGTATCTGCCGGCCAGCCGACGGGCCGGCGCGCCCTTTGCTTAGCCTGAGCTTGACGCCATTGGGAAACGGGACAGGTTGTTGATTGTCGGGGAATCTGAAAATCACGTCAAATCGATCGCCGTAGTATTCAGTAGTACTCCCTCCGTTCCGATTTACTGGGCTAAAACCACGACGAGTAAATCAGAACGGAGGGAGTACTACTGTACATGGGACTACCCACAATAGAAATAACATAGATAGTAACATCACACATATCTAGGTTAAATAGATGATATGGCATACAATAAATGAAGAAAGAGATGAAAGTGATAACATAGCTAGTTACTATTAGGCTGGTCATAGTGGGAGTAACATAGGTAGTAACATAGATGCCACATAAGCAAAAATGATGATGTGGCAAGTAGTTAATGAGGAGAGAGGCAAATAGAGTAACATAATATGTTACCATCACATAGCGGTTTCCAATGCATAATGAGTCTACAAAGTAATAAATGAAGACAACTATGTTACCACGCCTATGACACTACCCACTATGAAGGTAGTAATATAGACTAGTAACATATGTATGTTACTAGTCTAAGTTACTCCCCACTATGACCAGCCTTAGCATGAGTAACATCACAATTAAGGCAAGATGTGTCTATAGCCTAATAAATGAAGTGCTCTATGTTACCATACATATATTACTTCCCATTATAGATGTAGTAATATAGAGTAATAACAAGAGCATGTTACTAGTTTATATTACTATCCATTATGACTAGTCTGAGGCTGCCGCAATTAAGGACAACGATGTTCCTGTAAAACGCTCCTGAATGCTCGGACCGGCATTTTCAAACACACCTTTGTCACCCAATGCCCGTTCATCAAATGTGTCTCAACCGGTTCGGATGTCCGAGCTCCGACAAACAGGAACCAAATGTATGGGAAGTTTGCGAACGTTCGGACCTCTGCCACGGTCCATCCGAAATCCCACATGAAGCACCTTTTTCCCATTTCGTCCTTCTCCGTTATGCTATGTATCCATTTCAGTTAGCGATTGACGGCCTTGTGGTGCCATCCCTGTTGCCACTCCACTTCAACTACGTCGTTCTTTCACTTTGGATCCGGTCGCAGCCCAGGTATCCTTCACTATCTGCCGACACCATCCATGGCAGACACCATGTGTGGCTAGTGTTTGATAAAATGTTGTTTGTGTTTATTTTACGTTTTTGTTATTTACTTCGAAGCAAAAACAATTGATACGGACAAAAAGTACTTATAGCCCTAATTCATTGAGTCGTCTTCTTCGAATGAGGATGAGGAATATGAGGATGATACGGCGATGATGAGGGCAGTTCTTGTAGGCGCGGTGCATGCATAGAACCATGTTCTCAAATACAAGGGTTCACTAAAGGGGCATCCAGTGTCGAATCAAAATAGTGCACGAGGCATCTGGTCGAGCATTATGGGGTCCTATGGATAACTAGAACATGTGTCCTATTAAGCTGAATTCAAATACAAAATAATTTATTTTAAAATTTTATGTTTGGATTGTAATATTTTTATTTGAATTATTGTTGCACTGAAATATTTATCTTTTGATTGCTTAAGGATTGTGCTATTTATCTTTGATTGTTTTGAGTAGTCTAGGTATAAAAAAAAGGAAAATTTTTGTTTTTGCCACTCTAGATTTTGCCAATTTTCCTTATGCCATTCTAGTTTTTGACATTTTTTTACTTTTGACAGTTATCACAATTGCCATTCCATGTCAAAAGCAAAATAATTTTATTTCAATTTTGCCACTCTTAGTTTTTGAAACATAGCACAATTGCCACTCTGAAAATTTTGCTTTTGGCACGGGAATGAAAATTGTGATAATTGTCAAAAACTAAGAGTGACAAAAGTGAAATGAAAAAATCTAGAGTTGCATAAGGAAAATTAGCAAAAACAAAATTTTCCCCCAAAAAAAACTGGTACGACCCTATTCTTCTCCACGTATCACGTGTCCACGGACGATGGTGTTTGTTTTAATGGACTGTGTTGGTGTTGCCCTAACAAGTTAGTATGCACACAACCGTGACAATCGCATGGACGGAAATGATGCAAAATATATGACCAAATGCAGCTAGTACGATGCCTGCGAGGGTGTAGGGCTGGTTTACATATTACATCTCTTTACTAAGATACTAAGCTCCCTAGGAATGCAAGCTTTT